ACCCCACAGGGCGTAATGCAGCCGAGGACACGAGGCCCAGGGAGGCTGGGAGCCGGCCCCAGGGCACGCGTGGACAGGGACAGGCCTCCAAGCGTCGGCCCTAAGCTCTTTCCGCCGTAGGAGCGAGCTGCCCGGACCCCCGCACTGCCGAGGCCGGGGGTCTCCAGCGGGAGGACCCCAGACCTTCGGTCATTTTCCAGGCACGGTGGGCTTACGCTGAGGATACACTCTCCGGCCCGCACACACGGTCCAGGTGAAGGAACGTGCTCTTAGAAATGAGCGTCCTGCAAGAGCAGGAGGAGCTCCTCCATCTACTGAGCAGCCGTGCAGAGACCACTACTCGCGAGCACAGTACATCTGTTTGACTCTTTAACAAAAACATCTTACAACCAAACCGACCTTGAAGTAGGCAGAAGAGTCAAAGAAACGTCAGAAAGATGAACGCTCTGGGCAACTGGGAAACCAACCGACCAGGTAGTCGAGTCATCATCACCTTTTCCTTTTGCTTCTTAGATATGCAAATCCTTAAAAGCGATTCCGAGCAGCACTCAGAAGGTGCAGGAAGCCGGCGGGCGCAGGCATTAAGTATGAAATGCCTGTTACATTCCTGCTGTGTGCTAAAACCTACCCAAGGGTGCCCGTCCCTTCTTTTCTACCTTGAAAAAAGAAATGGGACAAAATAGATCTTAAACATGACGAAATTACAAAGAGCACAACACACAGTTGTCAGGCTGTATATATCTCCAGATTCCCAACGCTCTGTTCTATCAACACGACGCCTACAAACTGCAAAAATAATCCCTGCCAAAGCCACACTAGGTAATTACATAAAATCCTCCTAAAAGCTGAGAACATAGTTAATCGGGAATATCTAAAGTGAAAACTTCACTTACCTTGTGGAAAACAGGTTTTACTTCCGTGCATTTTCTTTCACAACATGCAAGCCCAAGGAGGTGCCACGCTCCAAGGAAATTTGTCAAAGCTTAAAATTATTCAGCTTCAAATGATTCCTCTCGACTCTATCACCAAGTAAATGTTTGCAATGTCCCTACAGCCTTCTGATAGCTTTATAGTTCAAAAGCACAAAGCTATTTCAGAGATCGGTTTAAAGACCTAAACATCCTGGGCATGAGAAAGAAAAGCTGACGATGCCACAGAACAACTAGTAGCCCCCCAAAATTCTCTTCTCCTTAGCTGCAAAGAGCACTTAAACACAACTGCTGGAGTCCCTTCTAGAAAGAGAGGCACAACTGTCTTTAGATAGGAGAGTGAAATCAAGGCTCCAGACAGAGAGAAGCCCACGCAAGCATGCCCACATGTGGCGCCGGGTCCACATCCTGGAGAATCAAAGCCCTCGATTACTTACATGCTGCACGTACAAAGGGAAAGTTCAGAGAGACCTGGTTCCTCTGGGAGGCGAGATTACATCTACCACCGGCTGCTGGGGAGGGAGCCCCGCATGCGTCCTCTCTCACGCTCATCCCCAGGCAATGAAAAAAATCCCAAACTGTTCTTCCAAGTCACATTCGCAAGGAAGTCCTAGCGCCACCAAGCTCTTCCTCCCAGGCAGCGCCAGGGGTGGGGAAGGCTCACCCCCACCCCCCACCCACCCCGTATCTCCTCCCAGGCTCTGAGCCTGCCAGCTCGGGAAGGCAGGCACCCGGTTAGGGAACATGGGGTGAGGACAGAGCCAAAGTGTGCCCCCTCTTCAGAGCCAAGTGCAAGAGCTGAAGACAGACGAGCAGCAGCATTTCTGCGGGGACTGCCTGACACCCCTCAAGTTCCCAGAACAAACCAGAAACTGTCGCTAACCCCTCACCCAAAGAGAAAGTGTTTATTCCTTTCATGCTCCAAACTATTACAATACTGCATGCTAATTGCTAACAATACAGGGGAAAAAATGATCCCCCACACAGGAGAGGGTGACAGGGGCGCACAAAGAGCTGTGACAGTAATAGGCACCCTGGAAGAGAGAGAAGGCAATCAATTATGAACCATTTGCAGAAATTGTAGGGCTGTCAAAAGCCCTCTTACAGCTGTGTTTCATCAAGCCCGGCTGCCTTTGGTTTTCAAGGGAAATTATTCCTTATTCCAACGTCTAGGATATTGTTAGTAAAATAACCCCAACAACCCAGGTTCAACCGGGATCTAATCTACAAAGTAGTTAATGACCCCCGAGAAGACTCAGTAGGCCGGAGCGAGAAGCCAGGGAAACAGGCAGGTCTCTGGGAAGAGGGGATTCCTCTTGAGACCCCACAGGACAGCCCAGGACCATCCTGAAGGATCCACACCCCAAGCACACAGGTTAGGACCCCCAAATCTCCATTTGGACAGAGAAAAGGAGACTGCTGTTAGGTTGGAACTGATGTTTCTAGGAAGCAAAAATATACAGAAGAGGAAAAAAAAAATCTTAAATTCTAAACTTTCTTTTCACTGAGATCCAGCACAATTACCACTTCTGATATACCCCTATTTTTTTTTTTTGTCAACAGTTTTTTCCCAAAAGATAAAGAATGCCTGAGCTGAGTGGGTACTAGACATTTCACTAGAGGAAGTTCATTACTGTAGACGTCTTCAAATTTGAAAAAGGTGAGATCACTGCTTTAGATTGAGAGGAATTGACAGCAGATGCTTCACATGCTAATATTCCCTTTCGATTTTTTTCTTCTGTGTTCTTTATTTTTTATTTGCCTTCACCTTTAACTATTTCAGCAGTGAGAATCAGCTCAGCTCCAATTTCAAGCTGGACTGCAGCTTGCACGCCTAGATTTCTAACTGACGCCCCAATGCTCACTCTGAAGATGCTGGTGCATTATAAGGGTCATTGTTAAATCATAAAGGTGGCAAGAGCTCTCACATGGCGGCAACTTCCTGTGGGGGCCGCTTAACACCCCTCAACCTGAACATAAAATTTGGGAAAGAATTTAATTTCCTTCAGAGGAACTTGAATGTGTAACTCAAACAGATGATAAGAGAGAGGAGCTCATTATCCCTAATGGCATTAAGTGGTTCCCCCAGCTGCCCTGCTGTGCCAGCGCCCCACGGGCTGACTTACCTTAAAGAGGCAGCCTGCTTCCTGAATGTTTCCGAACTGTTTGCTTTTTTAAAGTTTTAAGACAAAGCAACCCAAATCCCTCTATTTGATGCTCTTGGATCTACTGCTTAAAAAAAGCGATCAGTATGAGCCACACATTTTCTTTCGTAAATGACCCTCCAGAGGAGGGAAACTAAAAATGCTATGATTTCAGTCTTGTAAGCGAAATTGTGTCCTGGAGCCAGAACAAGATCAGTGGAGGCAGCTGAGAATCAGAAAGAGAGAGAAGGGAGGTGGTGGAGGTGGTGGAGAGGCAGGAGATGGTGCTCAGGGGGTGATGAGGGGAGAGGAAGGTAGAGGTGAAGCAAGGTGAGGCGTCTCTGGCCACAAGAGTCTGCTCTGAAGCTGGCAGCCCCTCACCTGCCCCACCTCCTCACAGTGCCCGGATATCCAGGCACTGGATCCCAGGAGTGTGAGTCTAAAGCTGACTGGCCTGTGGGCCTGCTCTCAGTTTTATTTAAATACCCGTTACAGCTCATGTTTCCTCCATTCTTATTTAAGACAAAAGTAAGACATATAAGAGTTATTCAAACTCAGTTAAAACTGGACTATATTAAAGTAGATGGTGTCAATCGGACCATTTCTGAAAGGGTAGCAGACCATGAACAATTGAAAATGTAGGCAAAGAATGGAACATAGCAAGTATTGGCTAGAATGTGGAGAAACTGGAAGCCTCCTATGTTGCTGGCGGGGATGTACAGTGGTGCCCACTAGGGAAAAGAGTTGAGCTGTTTCTCAAAGAGAGAGCCTTAGAATTACCACATGATCTAGCAAGTCCACTCCTACATGCAAAGCTAAAACATCTGAAAACAAGGGTTAGACAGATCTCAGCCAGTGCTAACTGGAGCATTACTCACAATAGCCATATGGTGGAAACACCCCAGTGTCCACCAAATAGGGTATATCCATACAGTGGCATATTAGTCAGTCATAAAAAGGAACTAAGCTTTGACACATGCCACAACATGGACGAACCTTGGAAACATGCTCTGTGGAGTAAGCCAGAAACAAACACAAATAGTACATGATTCCACTCACATGGTATAGGTTGACTGGCAAATAAGACAGAAAAAATCTAACAGAGGTTCAGGGGGGCTGGGGCATGGGGTGAATGGGGCGTTACTATCTAATGGATACAGAGTTTCTGTTGGGTCTGCTGAAAAAGTTCTAGAAATGGATAGTGGTCATGGCCACACGATATTGTGAATGTAAACACCACTGTGGTGTATACTTAAACATGGTTAGAACCGTGAACTTTCCGTTCTGCATATTTTACCACAACAAAACAGCATTCCAAAAATAATTTTATCTTCAGTCAAAACCAAAAAATGTAGGGCAAAAAATAGAATAATTTAACATGATTTTAAGAACACCTGAGCGTAGACTGTCCTTGTCAAAACTACCAGGATGGGGCCTCCCTGGTGGTGCAAGGGGTTGGGCATTGCACTATGAAGCAATCTGCAGCCTCTGCAGCACGAGTTCGATCCCCGGCCAGCCAGAGAGCTACCCACATGCCTCGGCAGACTCTCCTGCCTCACCCACTGCTCCCCTCAGCAGTGTATTTCAGTCAGTCTGCCTGTTCTGTTCCCCACTCTGTCTCTGGTGAATCGTCTCATCCCCCTGCATCGCTGGCCTGTACCCCAGCTCTTGTATGCATAAATACATAAATCTTAAAAAAAAAATTACCAGGATATAGGAGCGAGGGCATCTCACTCTCCCCAGGTGGCAGCCAAAGTCAAGGAGGAGCTGTGGCTGAACTAAATGATTCAGATACATAAGGAAACCATTTTTAAGGAAAAAAGTGTGTATGCCAACATCTGCGACCAGGGATAAGATGCCACCATCTCCTGTGAGGGGGCTTCACTCCTGCCTGCCCAGCCCATGTGGGAGATCTGGGAAGCCTTACCCTGAATGTCTGCTCCAGTTTCTCCCTGTGTGGACCTGATCCAGGGTGCCATCGGTCTGACTTCTTTTCAGCCCAGTTGTGACGTCGGGGACATTGCTGAAATCTGCATGAAAGGTGACAAAAACATGATTATTGCCATTTGCAGAGAATAGTCATGGTAGTTTAAAGACACAAAATGAGAGGAAAGAAAAATTAAACCACCTGGAATGCGTACAGAGTGGTCTTTAAGGACAGTGAGGTCAGAGCTGGTCTTCTGCAACACACCTGGACCCTCACTACTGAAGAATCAACTTCTGTTTTGGTCAAAGGAGAACCACCACCTACCAAACCAGTGACGTAACAGCTCATGGGGCAGAATGCTCTTCTGTGATTGTGATTTATTTGAATCAAGAATCAAACAGCAGTCACCACTGGTGGCATTTCCAATTTGTGGAAATGACCAAGGCCATCTTGGAAAATCAATGATATAATATCATTGACTCTTATGCTAACCCACAATGTGCTCATTTGCAAGCATAATCCTGGCATCAACCACAATTTAGTCCTAAATTCAAAGTCCCAGGAGAAAGAGCAAACCTCTCAATTTCAGAGTAAGGATTAAAAAACACATCCAGGGGCCTCCCTGGTGGCAGAAGGGGTTAAGTCTCAGCACTATCAAGCTATCAGCAGCCACTGCAGCACAAGTGAGATCCCAGCCAGGGAGCCAACCCACATGGCACAGCAGACCTCTCCTGACTCGCCCGCTGCTCCCCTCAGCAGTGTATTTCAGTAGATCTGCCTATTCTGTTCCCCACTCTGTCTCTGGTGAATCTGCTCACCCACCGATCCCCCCACACCTTTGGCCTGCACCCCATTCTGGTATGCATAAATAAATCTTAAAAAAAAAAAACCACCACATCCAGCCTCTATATCCGCAGGTTCCACAGCCATAGATTCAACCAGCTGAGGATGAAAACCACTACTATGTCGTTGCATTGACAATGGCTGTATCTGTACTGAACATGTACACTTTCTCATCATTATTCCCTGAACATACAGCATAACAACAATTTACATAGCATTCAAATTGTATTAGGTATTATAAGTAATCCAGAGACAAGCTACAGTACACGGGAGAATGTGCCTCATATATGCCATTTTATACCCGGGGCCTGAGCTCACATCTGTGGATTTGTCTGGGGAAGAGAGAGGAGCGGCCTCCGAGCCAGTGGGTGGCGCTCACAGCCAACGTGATGGAAGAAGGTGGAGCTTTCCAGACTCCACCCCTGAGCAGGGGCTGGTGGAAAACAGGGGCGGAACTGAGGCTTTTACAGTTAAACAAGGGGCTTTGGGGCAGTTAAATCCCTGGTGAAGTGTCTGTGGGGAAGACTCTAGCTGCCACCTGCGGCTTCAGGTGGGCCCAGTCTCTGCTCAGCAGACCCTCTCCGGAGCAGGCCAGGTGCGGGGCCACAAGTCAGCCTGTGAATACGCCCCCTCCCTTTATCCCACTCCCTAGGTAAATAAATCCTGTTGTTGATTCACACTCTGTGTCTCCTTGGGTCCTGGCCTAGAGTCACACCCAGCGCGAGGGCCCTTCAGCAGGCCCATTCTCCCAGGTGTGTTCAGGTTCCCATTTCAGTATCTGACCTAGTCCTGGAACCAATCCCTGGGACCAAGGGGCCGCTGTAATAGCAAAGGTAAGCAGGGCTGGGACTCTCCAGCCCATTCTCTCTACATACATGCCATCCTCAACCACCCTCCCCAGGGGTTCTCAAGTTAACAAAAAAGACGGAAAGACTAGAGCCCATCAGAATATAATGTGGGTTTTCATTCTAATGCTTGTGTTTGGTAGACTTCACCTCAACAAGGCGAAGCCAAACGGCTGATCCCAGCCAGCTAGATTAAGAAGTCATCACTCCCACACCTGTCTGGATTGATCTAGGCTAAGAAGATACAGCCAGATGTTGAGAAAGACGTTGTCCAGCACAATGGGGCAAGACGATGGTCCGTGGGAGGCCTCTGGAAGCTCTGGCAGCCCTAAGAGAGTGATGGAATTCACTGGCAAGCACGTCGGTCCCATGGTCTCTGCAGCTATCTCCAATCACTACACGGGAGCTTCTAAAACAAGAGGAGACCTAAAAAACATGTTCATGAGCTACAGAATTCTGAAGCTCCAATGTCTTCCTTCTTCTGTACCGTCCAATACCCTAGCTCCAGCCAGGAAAGGACCAGATAGTCCAACTCACACTAACTCTTGGCTATGGAGTGAGCGAGCGCAGAGACGGCAGTGCTGGTCACAGAAGCATGCACCACCCCCTGCAAATGCTGCGGAGCAAGGACAGGCGGGTCCTCGCCTCTCCATTCCCTGCACCGCGCCTCAAGGGCCGTCTGCCACCTCGGAAGCGACATCAGGGCCTAAGCCACACCGACCACGGCCTCCTTCATGCGCACCTGTGCCTAAGGGAGACCAGCAGACGGAGCTCACAGGCCAGCCCCTGCCTACCCAGCACCCCACACCTCCCTATACCGCCCCCCTGTGCCCACGTGGTGAGCACCTGTGAACGCCGAGGCGCTGAGCCAGGTGTGGAGAGGTGCGTGCGCGGCAGTCACTACCTCGCTCGTCGGGAGGACCAGGACCAGAAGAGGAAGCGAGGAAGGAGGAATGAATGCATGTGCACAAGAAAGGGCCGCAGCTGGCACAGGCACGTGCACGCAGGGCGGCGCGGGGACACGCAGGAGGGAAGCGACTCTCCCTGGGGCGCGCAGACGCCACAGCAGAGGACACACCGGGGAAATGCTTTCAATCTCAGGGTACTATTTCTCTGGAAAGCTGGCGATGACCAGGCCGGGCGGCAGCAGGGAGCGAGGAGGTCAGGAACGGAGGACAGCTGAGGGCAGGCGACGCGCACGGAGAGCACAGCAGCCGCTGGGAGCGCGTGGCTGCGGCGCAGAGCGGGACCGGGAGGGAAGGGCCCTGGGGTGGGGGAACTGACAGCAGGCAAGGCCTCGGCAGGACGACAGGCTGGCGAGTCACAGGGCACCACGGGGGTGACGTCTCCGGAGCAGCAAACACAGAATAGCTCACAGCAAGGAAGCAGAGCGCAGGGGGGAGCAGGTAGGACTCCACAGGCGCCCTCTTTGCCTCCCAGTTAATAGAGATGCAGAGTGGGGGATGCTGAGGCAGCTGCCTGGCGATGGAGCAGGTGGGGAGCAGGAAAGCTCGGGAGTTAGTGTCACAAGCTCAGCTTTGGCCTGGGGGAGAGGCACAAGGGCTTCTGCGGGGAGCAGCTCAGCAGACAGTGCAGGGAGGTCGGGGCAGGAACGTGGCCGTGAAGCGCGGGAAGCCTCCTGGGAGGGCAGAGGGTGCCGGGGAGAAGAGGCCTCACCAGAAAGCTCTCTCCCTGCAGAGAAGTCCGAGCATCAGCAGCGCAGGGCTGAGCAATGTCACAGAGGCACAGGCTGGAAAAGGTCACAAGCGAGGGAACAGATTCAAATTTACGTGACCACTCCCTTGCCTCAGAGATCAAGGCCTTCAGCATTTCTGGGGCGCAGGCACGCCATTGACACCATGTTCAGGGAGCCCTCTGCAGCTTCCCCCGGGGGGCCGACTGCATTCCCGGGGTATGGCCTGGAGGAGACCTCCGGTCCCTGAAGACCAAGGGGACGCTCAGGCCCAAGGAGCTGCAGAGCCCCGAGGGGCCACACAGCTGCCGTCACAGCAGGTACCAAGGAAATTGTGAGTCCTTGACTCCACAGTGCCACAAAATGTTGGGTCTCAAATGCTGAAAACACCCCAAACCACTTTCATCTCTTACAAAGGCACATTGTTCACCGAGTAACTGAACATCTGACCGCTTTCTGTCAAAACCCCGTGCACGCCAGGATAACGCCTCACTGTGAGTGCATGAAGCTCCCTGGTCGCCTTTGTGCCCCTGAACTTCAAGGAGCCTTCGGGTGCTGCTGAGAGAGATGCTCTCTGGGGCACAAGGCTCGCGAGGAGATCAAGGCACCCAGCTGCCCCCACGCTGACCTTCCCACACGGACGGGTCCCAGAGGCAGCGGCAGCTCTGATCAGCTTCAGAGCCCCATCAAGGTAAGATTCTCCAAGCTGCTTCCCCAGTAATACCTGGGCATAAACAGAGCCCTCCTGGTGGCCAACTCTTGCGACTCCCTGCCAGGGGGCAGGGCAGCAGCTCCGCCCTGGAGATCACACACAGAGGAAGCCAAGCTAGAGAGTGCCCACGGCAGCGGGTCTCCGCTCACCAGGACCTACATCCTCATGGAAGGGGTGTGCCCTCACCCCTTCACCTCATTTGTTTTTTTCAAAGATTTATTTATGCATGCAAGAACTGGGGTACAGGCCAGAGGTGCAGAGGGTGAAAGGATTCACTAGAGACAAAGTGGGGAGCAGAACAGGCAGATCCACTGACACACACTGCTGAGGGGAGCAGCGGGCGAGTCAGGAGAGGCCTGCTGCGCCATGTGGGTCACCCTCCTGGCCAGGGATCAGACTTGGCTGCAGTAGCTGTGGATAGCTTGACAGCACTGTCTTTAACCCATGCGCCACCCTGGAGGCCCCCTGACCTCATTTCTGCAGGAGAAATGAGAACAAAGTCAATTCTGGGAGAAGAGCAGAGTGACTAAAAAAAAAAAAGTGTAGGCCTGTAAAATTCAAATGCTGGTCTACAGAGATGCTTTAAACAGGCTCTGGGCTCACATCCTGCCCGGATGCCGAGTGCCCATGTAGAGCCTCGCGCATACCCACGTCCTGAGCACCAGCTGCTAGCGGGGGACACAGCCTGCCCTCCCGCCTCGACACCCCGCGCGGACACCCACACGCCAGGACCCTCACCCAGCGGCGCGGCGCGGTCACACCCACTCGGCCCTCAGCTCAGAAGCACAGACTCGCTCTGGAGCAGCCTTTGGCCAAGATGTTTGTAAATAAAAATAAAATTCAAGCCAAGGGCAATTCCTTGTCTCTCTCGTCTTATTCTTTGTGGAAATCAACAAATGGCCGAGCAGCATGAAACATCTACCACTACCACAGCCATGGAGAGCAGCTCTCAGCAGCTGAGCAAGTCACTGTTACGGCCCCACCTGTGGGCCTGCCCCTCGCGTGCTGGG